GTTGAAGTAGTTAGGTATTGAAGTTATTTTCATGCTTAACTTGTAAATTTAGAACCTGTTGTATGATTACATTATAGTATTCCATGAGTAGATGTTATAATTTAACTTACTTATATGCACATTATAAATTTAGCATGTCGTATGCCATTATCGCTTGAAGACATAGGATGAATATTGTGTGTTTTACTTAATTTGTTTATGCACGGTAGTTGACTAATGTATTGTGTATATGTATTATACTTTGATGCACAACTTGATGATTTGAGGAGAGCTTACAAGGACATTGTAATATGTTACGGCTAGGGCATGGCTCTAGTACGGGGGATAAGAGCTCCCCCTATAACATATGGTGCGCACTGGGTGGTTCCCTAAGGGCTAGTAGCCCTAAAACACCAATATACGGTTTGATTCCGGGTTTAGTACGCACTAGGTAGTACCTTGCAGGCTAGTAACCCAAGATCAACTTGCTTGGTCATTGAGACCGTATGTTCTTGTCTTTCCGCAACTACTTGATTTCGCATTCAATTTGAAGTTGTTTAATATGGATTATTTATAACTTGTGATGTGGTGTTTAACATTTCAATTAGGTGTAGTATACATATGCTTTGTATACTTGCACGCCTTGTTTTTCAATACAAGTTAATATCACTAAATTGTGATAACTTGTTATTTCCGTAGTTTAGATTTCAAGTTGTTAACTTTGATAATCTATACCTTGATGCATTGTATTAGAAGTTCTAATGTTAGTTAAAATTGCATTGATATTGCAATTTGGGTATTAATTGTCTCATATAGCCTAGGATGATTCCTTAGACTCATTTGAAACATAGACATTAGGTGGCATGAACCGTTTAAGTTGTTTTCGCATTTTAGGTTGCAAGTTGATAACTTTGAATACCTATGTCTTGTTGCGTTACACTATAAGCTCCTATGTTGTTAAATTGCATGAATGATGTGGTTTATGCTAGAAATGCTCTAAAGTAGCTTAGGATGCTCCTTAAATCTCACATTTGACATAGACGCTAGGTGGCATGACCGTATGAATTGATTTATAACAACTTAATAAGTTTGTAAAATGCTAGGTCTATGCATGTTCATCTCTTACGAGTAGCTTTATGTTACTCACTCACATAGTGGGGACATTTTTCAGGTACAAGATTCAAGATTTGGGACTTTGCATTTGCTTTGGGATGTCTTGTAGACTTGAAATATATATTTCATGAAAATGTTAGCATGAAATATTATTTTTGATTCAAAATGTCAAAACTTGTATATTTGGTTCTATATATGTAATGAGCACCTAAGTACGCCATTTGGAATATATTTGACATGTATGTAATGAGGTCATGGCCCAAGAACATTTTATTTGTATTCTAAGTACTTTTATTTCTAAGCTATTTTGTTGAAAAATAGAAAAATGCAATATTTTACCTTCATTACTTTTGCATGGGGTGTGAGAAGTGAGCTTTAGCACTTCCATAAGGTCTATTTATTTATGCATGAAGTGTGGCCAATGGCTAAATGGTATTTTGAAATCATTTTATAATTTTAGTTTCAAGTTTCTCTTTTAAAAGTTATTTTTAGCAAAATTTGAGGTTTAATAGGTGATATTTTACATTTAGCGACCATTGAGGCCGTAGGCCTGGAACGCGTGTAAATATGTATATTACGTTTGCGTGAATGCTCACCTTGCACAAAATGTCACATTTGTATGAAATGGATGCTTGTTAATCTCAAATTTTCCATTTAAGGCATTTTCTTTGCATTTTGAGGTTCAGATAGGTCGTATTTTGTATCGGACATTTTTGGGAGCCGCAGACCATTCCCACGCACTTAAAATCACTAAATACGTTTGCGTGCATTATCGTTTTAGCACACAACACTATTTGGGGTCAAATGAACACTTGGTGCAAAGTTGTTCATTTTTTTTCATCGTTTTTGACCTATCTAATCTAGGGGCATTTTGGAAATTTCTTTTGAAAAATAAATTTTGGTCTTAACATAGTCACACATAGCAAACGTGATTTTAGGGGTGGTTTCTTCACAACATTTTTCAAGAAAATGTCATCTCGGTCTCGAAACCTCGCGTCAAATCTAATTTTCTGTGCGCATATGCACTTTTTGAAAAAGCCTGTTATTTTAGGGATTTTATGTCAAAAATAAAATTTTCTTTCGACACAGTCGGCTTGGAAAAATTATTTTGAGGGGGGTTTCTTCTTTGTATTTTTCTAAAAAACGTCGTTTAGTGGCTCAAAATGGCATACGAATTTTAGCATTTTACATAGGTCACTATTCAGTACTGTCAAAACACTGTTCATTGCAGTCAAAACACTAATCACGGCCGCGGCGACGTCAAAACTTTGTTTCGGCTTTTCTTTTTCATCCGGACTACAAATCAAGTGACTCTTGATTCTAACTTGATTAATTTTTCGCTTTCTTTCCAATGGTGTGCTCGGTAGCACCCAGATCTTGCTAAAAATTACTATTTTGCCCTTTGGGCTAAACTTGTCCCTCTTTTTTTCTTTTTCTTTTTTAAATTGCTTCTGTTATACTTTCTTATGAGTTCCATGACTTCATGTGAAGTCATGGATGTGTCTTGGAAATGATGTACATTCCAGAGACATTGCTTACATATAAAAAGATTGTTTTGCCTTTGGGGGCTTCTTTTGGTCTTTTTCTAATCTTTTCTTTCGCGTTGGTTCTCGTGAAGTTTCGTAGCCTCATGGAAGGTCACTTTGGCGTCCTATGAATGTTGTATATCGTTAGAGACCTTATTTCTATTTTTGCTTCTGCATTTCGGATCCGTTATTGGATCAAACTTCGGCTCATCACAGGACGCACTGGCTTGAAAAATCAGAGCCATCATAATCCATCAATTAAGTAATTAGTTTTGTATATATATATTTTTAAATCTCAAAATCTATCTTGTTCTTTTTTCTTCTTTTTTTTTCGAATTTTTTTGTTTTTGTTTTTTTATTTTTTCTCAAAATCCATTTCTTGTGAATGGATTATCCTATCTAACTTTTTTTATTTTTTTTATTTTTATTTATTTTTAGCATCCATTTATATCACATTAGTTATTATATATATATATACACACACACACATATAGAGCACACATCCCCATATGAATCGATTAAAAGAGGAGATAAGAATAAAGGCATAATTTAAAAGGGTATTTTTGTCTAAAAAGTAATGTTGAAACTCAAAGTAATTAATACATTTAAAACTAACCAATTCTAACTGCAATTGTGAATAGACAGTCGCTTGCGCAACTATAATTAACACTCCTCTAATTTCAAATATAACAATGACCTCCCTTATCAATGTTGACTTTGACCCAAGTGTGTTAAATGAATATTATACCCTTTGTACTATTATTGTTTTCTAATATAAAATATTTGTTTATTTACAGACAAAATAATATTTTCAAGCTTTTTAAATATATTTTTAAATTTAAATAAATATTGAACAGGACACCAAGAAACAATTATATTTGAAACTAAAATGTAGAGATTTTGTTATTATTTAACCAATCTATAGGAAAAATAAGTGTAATTATATTTTCATTTTATTACCCTCAAGCCCAGCTCTCCTTTCTCTCCTCTCTTCTTCTTACAGACTTGGGTCAAATCAAGGTGAGAGAAGTTCTTCATCCTCGTGTGATTTTGCATTGTGGTGCATTGAGGAGGGAAAATTATGGTATGACGCTAAGGAAATTATATGGTCCTGAAACCATTGGTGTCAACCAATAGTCGATTGACATTAATCTTTTTAATTTTTTTTTTTTTTTTTAGAGTATTTGACAAAAGTGTCAATCAAGATTAGAGTAAGACATATTCCGTATAAATAATTTATTGAAAATTAATATATAAATTATTTTTATTAAATTTTAATTTTTTTTCTTTGTTAATATGAAAATATAATATTTTTGTCAGTGTTATGTTTTGTGAATCATACTTTTCGTATGTGAGTTACAATTTTCGAAACATAACATTATTTTTAAAACCGAGGGAATATTAATTAAAAAATATTTTACATTCAAAACAAAATAACACCAAATAAAAGATAAAATAAAACTGACACAAAGATGTGCATTTGATTTATGGATTTCGGACAACTAGCAATGATTCCAAATGATATAATAATATCTCTGAATTTTTTTTTTTTTTTTTTTTGGCACAATATCTCCGAGTTGACACGCATGCAAAACAAAAAAAAAATATATTTAATTAAATAAAATTTATACAAAATATGAGGTCTTGGCCAGTAATATTTTGCATTTTCACGTGATTTTGGTTCTTGTCGATAACTGAGCCCTCTCCAGACAAGAAAGTAATGTACTAGAGAACAAAATATTGAGGCCTATCTGCAGAGAAGATACAGTAGGATCAGGGCCGTGATCTTGATCGTACGGCCGGCTGATTTAATTAGACCAATCTGGGTTTCCATTTCTGCAGCTTGTTGAAGAATGGACAGTTGTGTGTTGTTTGTTCATTTGTAGTAGTAAGATGTACAAAGTACGATTATATGAAGAAAAGGAAAAGAAAACTAGCCCCGGCCAGTAGGATTTTTATTGCATCTTATCGGGAAACGAGCCAACCAACTTCAACTTGACTAGTTCCCACTGTGTTAGTTTCATCGTCTGGTTGGTTTAGTTATTCCACTAGGTCTCGTTCCAACTTTAGTCAGAGAACCAGGATTTTTTTTTGGTCAGTTGTATTTAGGTTTGGGTGTATCATGAAATGCCAATGTGTGAATACTCATACGTACGTACGTATATACATACATATATATAATATATATATAAAGCTTATTTACCCTCTCCTTTTTTCTTTTCTTTTTTTAACAAGAAACACATGTTAGAATTTGTAAATAAAATTTGTCTGATCAAAATACGTGAAAGGCATCATTTAACGTAGGATCCTATGAAATATTAAAAAGTACCTTGGATTCAAGGAATGTGCTCTTAAATGTATAAAATATTAATTACCTTGGATTCAATAAAGGGGTGTGTTGCTCTTACTCCATCTAGCACTTAATATTTTGCGCACCACCAAAAAGAATGGATACTCCTCATGCTCTTGCTTTCTTTCATGATGATAAATAGCGACCTTCACTTTAGCTATCATGGAGTCCCACATCTCATACACCAAGTGAAGACAAGGAACATCCGTATCGGCCCTCCTAAGCATATCATAGATTGGCTCAGTAAAGTTAATTATGTAATCAATATCTCGCCACCAATCATCACTTACTATTTTTGTCTTGACAGTTAAGGCCCTTTGAACATTATCTTTCCTATAAGATGTCCAAAAATCACTCATCACCATGTCTTGGAGACCACGTTTTATTCGCTTAAATCTTCTTAGCATCACAATTATTGAAGGAAAACGTGTATCCGCAATATAAAGCATAGTTAATTTCACATTTTCATGAAACATTGCCAATCTCATGGAATGATTAATTTTAAATTTTTTTATAAACATACAATCATCGATAATAGTTGTAATCCAATGGCATTCTAGAAAAACAACTTCATTGGCATCGGTATTTTTGGCCGCACAAATATTTTTCAAAGCAAGGTTGAGGGTATGAACCACATAAGGAGTCCAAAATACTTTTGGAAATTGGACTTCAACAAGCAATCCTGCACTCCTACAAACAGGAGCATTATTGGTAATAACTTGGACCACATTATCGGGTCCAACCTCTTGAATAGGCTCCTTGATCAACTCCAAGATGAAAAATTTATCTTTGAATTCACCTTCACAATTTACCGCTTTCAGGAACATAGGCCCATTTACACTCATAGCCATAAAATTGATGATTGGCCTCCTTTGCGGATCCGTCCATCCATCACAAACAATAGTAACACCATTTTCCTTCCAAGAATCTTTAATTGGAATCATCAACCTCTCTATGTTTGCTCTTTCATTTTGAAGAAGAGTAGTCATCAACAAGTTGTAACCGGGAGGAATATAGCCACTAATACTATTATTAGAGGCATAAGTGTAGGAGGCAACATAGTGTGGGTTCCTTGTAAGGTGAAAAGGCAAACCGGCCGAGTAAAACATTCTTGCAATTTTACTATGCAATTCATCACGAGCTCCAAGATTAAATGCTTTTTCAATTTCCTAACTAGTTTTCCTCTTTCTTGGTTCAAAAACATCAAGCATAAATGGCCCACCTCCCGTGCTTACATTTGCACTTTATGAAGATCCAGCTTTGCTTGGACTTGTGGAAGGTGGCAAAGGAACCTGTTTTGGCATCTTTCTATTAATTCTTATTTCAGCTTCATTAACTAACCTTTGCATTTCAGCTATATGATCATTAGTCACTTTTTTACATGCTTGAATGCCGTGTCTTGAGATTTTTAGCAAATGCGCTTTCACCCTATAGTATGATCCCTTAAAATTCCCTTGACAATAATTGCATTGAAACTTTATATTTCCCCCTCCTCCCCCAACCTTATTAAACTTTTTAACATATTTCCAGAGAGGGGTGTTATCATCAGGTTCAACCCCACTGCTAGAACCTTGCACATTCATTTTCTTAATAACAAACAGTTATATATAAATACAAAATTACAAATAAAACTGCAACAAATAACAAGACTAATTTTAATAATTTTATCTCTGTTATAACTTAAAACTAATGAACTGAAGCATTCATTTTCAAAGAACCACATATTATTTGACTAATATATTCCATGAAAGGGAATATGTTCCCTGATTTTATTATTCTTTAACTTATAGCATATCTCATGAATCATCATGCTATATAACATTATAATTTGGGAGATGTCAACGTACTGAAAAATAAGCTATATTTTTTTTTTCTTCGGGTAAATTGCTTATCTAGTTCTCTTTCAGTTTCACAAAGTCTTGTACTGCTGTACAACTTGTACATGTAACTTAAAAAATATATATATATATATTATTCATGTACGTTACAGAGGTCTAATTGAAGAAGAGGAGAGAGGAAGTGAGAGAAAAGAAACCTACTTGTTGGAGTCGCCGTAGTAGACACCGGAAAGACGAAAAATCTGGTGAAGAGTTGCTTTCGCTGAGCTCGTAGTCACATCTAAGGAGAGGAATTGCCTTGGGCAGTTAGCGAAGGAACGGAGGATTTAGGAATTTTGGGTCTAGAGCATAGAAGACAGAACTGATGATGTATCTACGACATTTAGAATTTTACTGTGTATTCTTTAGTATGTAGTTGTTTTCTATTTTTTCAAAATTTTACTTTTAACTTCTAAAATTAGTAAATTACATTAGGTTTCCATTTATCTTTAAAAAAATTACAAAATAAACCCCGCGGTGTCCCTCACGTGTCCGTACCGTGTCCGCCGCGTGTCCGAGCCGTGTCCAATAAAAAATTATTTCTGGACACTCCACAGAAGTGTCGGACACCTGTCCGAGCCTCGGACAAGCGTGTCAGTGTCCGAAAAGTGTCCGACACTGGTACGTGACCCTTGAGAGGAGTGTCCGTGCTTCATAGGTAGTATCTATTGGGAAATACAACCATCATATCGCGTCTTCTTTGAAGACCTGTTTATGCAACGACGTGGATGTTATATGTGACAACGTGAATGTCCTGGTGTGAAAGGGTGGTATGTTATTGCATGCAGAGCCCTGTATATCATATACATCCATTGATGTATAAAGAATATTTGTACATTAGTATAGCAGTATAAACCAATAGATGTGGTAGTTATAGATTGAACAGACGTCTTGTATGATCAGAGGTCATGTTATTAAACTGATAATGGAAAGGTGCGATGGATAAAATATGTCTGTAAATGAACAAACATATTAAATAACCAAATGAAACCAATCTCTCTATAAATACCCAGGCTGTTATCATTTCAATTTGTTAATTTTTCCATTCTCTCTCTCCCTCTCTCAACTTAAACCCAACCCAAGTGGGTGTGGGTTCAAGCCATATGATTAAATGGTTCAAACAATTAGACCAAACATCTATACCAATGAGCCGTATTACAATTGGTCCAAACCAAATGGTTCGGATCAAACCCAATTCATTTTTTTTTTTATGTTGGAGAGATACATTTTTGAGTCAAAGAGAGTATTACATAGAGGAGATTCGCCATATCCACCAATTTGTAGTGCTACTACTGGTGGATGTAAACCATTGTTTCCTGAGAGACAAGCGCCACAAAATCCGTCAGCACTATGCAGGGCGTAAATTGTCTTAAGGACGTAATATCCAATACTAGCCTCGGTCTAGGTTCTTTAGTTGGTAATTATTATTTTATTGCTTTAATTTGAATGTTTAATTAAATATTGAGTTACATATTTAATTAATTATTTTAGCATATTTGTAATTATCTCATGGCATATTAATATAATGTTGGTTATATCTTAAATGTCATATGAATCATATATTTTTCAACAATCTTAAAAACAATCTAAAGATAATTTATTCCTTGTGTAGATTTTATTATATACTTCTATTTAAGATATAAAAAAGTAGAGATTATACTAATAATTGATATATAATAAAATAATATTATATACATTATTATATGATAATATGTTAAATATTGATGTATTCAATATTATGTGAAATTGAAACATGTTATATAAGTAGATTATTGAATTATTAATTTAATAATTTATATAATTCAATAGTGGTTGAATTATTTTAATTTTGTAATATGATATTATGTTGTATATTATATTATCTTAAATTTCTGTCGACTAGAGGTGGAAAAAGGTACTTCGTTACTTTTATCAATGATTGCACAAGATACTGTTATGTATATTTGCTGTGAAGTAAAGATGAAACCTTAGAAATATTTAAACATTACAAAAATGAGGTTGAGAATCAACTTCGAAAAAAGATCAATATGTTAAGAAATGATAAATGTGGTGAATACAAAACACTATGTGTTGATATTTGTTCAGAGCATAGTATTATTCATCAAACTACCACTCCTTATACACCTCAACAATACGATGTTGATGAATGCAAAAAACTGTACTTTAAAATAAATGATGAATGTTATGTTGATAAGTTCTAGTTTAACTCGTAAATTGTGGGGAAAACTATGCTTTCCGCAAATTATGTTCTCAATAAAATACCTCAAAAGAAAACTAATGTGACACCATATGAATTATGAAAAGGTTGAAAATACTCCTATAAATTCTTAGAAGTGTGGGGCTGTCTAGTTAAGGTTGCAGTTCCTACTCCTATGAAAGTTAAATGGGACTAAAATGTGGCGACTTTGTGGGTGGGTGTGTCGTGGATGGGTGCAATAGGCACTGACATGCTATCACATTGGGTGAGCTGCAGGTGCACAGTTTCACATCGCTTAGGTAAGGAAAATGTGAAGTGCTTTTATGTGGTAGTGTTATCTCCAATTGGTATGAGGCCTTTTGGGATAAAACTCAAGATAAAAACCATACGGGCTCAGGTCCAAAGTAGACAATATCATACCATGTGGTTGAGTGGATCGTTACATAAAATCTTTTATAGGTTATGCTCATAATAGTAGTGCATATCGTTTTCTTATGTATAAATCATACAATGAAAATAAGGATGAGCTTAAACATAGCAAGAGGGCTAGAACGTCTAAATCTTTTAGTCCTGATTTTGTAACATGTTTATTGAAAAATGATCTATAAGGCTTTAAAGAAGCAAAGTCTTCTCCTGAATATTATTATTTCCTAGACTAATCATGTGATATAATTAATTATGTAATATAATATTGAACTATGTAGTTGAATTATTTAGTGTGCATAGTAATTTAATTTTACAATAAAGTTTATTTAACGTGTGATATTATTAAATTTGTATGAGTTCATGATTGGTTTGTGTATGTAATATAACAAACAAAAATTGACTAGTCTAGTTATGTCAATTCTCCCAATAGTCAAAGGAAAAGATCTATACTAATGGCCAAGACAACTATAGTTGGGAATGGGCTGAATAAAAGAGAGATTTTTCGATAACTCAAAGGAGTTCAATGGAAAATGTTATGGATATACTAAGCTAGTACACTGAGTTAAAAGTGGATAAGCTAATTAAAGCTAGTAGCTATAAAGTACAATTTAACTGAAAGCTAAGGGGTTGTTTGGCATCTACTGTGTTTTTGTTTTAGGCCCACTACAGTAGCCCAAATGAAGCCCAAAACATGTTTCGTTGGTTATGTTTTGTTTGCACAGTTGTAAAACATTTCAATAAAGAGGCCCAAAACTTGAAACACCAAAATGGTGTTTTATCTTGTTTCAACACTGTTTGGGTAAATTTTCATTGTAGCGCAGGAAATAGCCGGCCTAACTTGTTTCAGGTATATAAACATTTTAGGTCATTTTTGGACAAATTTTCTCTCTCCTCTCCCAATACTCTCTCTGCGATTCAAGGGCGATTTCTAAAAATTTCATCACCACCGATCAAAGTTAGGCCCTCAATTTGCTGGATTTTATTAAATACAACACCTATCAAAGCTGGATTTTCATCACCCCCGATCCAAGCCTCCCCAATGCCCTCCATCTCTATTCTCGTTCTCTACTCTGAACTTGCCCTCTCTCCGTCTCTGCAACTACAAACTACAAAATCTACAAGAATCAGAAGTTCAAAACCCATTTATTTCAGTTTATTGATCTGTCTGCAAGAATCAAAACCTATTATTACCTATGAATAATGCCTCCATCTCTATTCTCGTTCTCAGACTTGAACTTGCCCTCTCTTTCTCTCTGCAACTGGGTCGAAAAGACTTGCAACGTCAGCACGAAAAAATTGACTATGCAAAAAAGGGGGTTTATGAGAGAGAGGTTCCTAAAAATCCAAGGAAGAACTATATTATGGCCATATACAGCCAGTTTTGAAAGCTCATAACACCCTCACGATGTCGTTTCCTTAACAAAGCAACTATGCACATGTTTTCAAGATTTCTTTGTACATAGGTTCTGAATCTGATGAGAGGAGGCGTTGTTTGGTTTAGAAAAATAAAAAATAAAACTCTCCCTTACTCACAACTTCTGTTCCTAAAACCAGCAACACATCTCAACACATGCACTCTCTCTCTTCTTTTACAGAATAATCACCAGAT